TCACAGATGTACTCTCCAGCATCCTTCTTCTCCACACTGTCGATCACCAGCTGGCGATTCTTGGCCTTTGACTCAGTATGGATTGTCTTGGTGGAAGTCAGCAGCTTGCCATCCTTGTACCACTTCACCTCTGTCTTGGTATCGACCACCTCACAGCTCAACGTGGCTTTCTGGGAAAGCATGGCTTTAACCTCCTTCTGAATAGACTCCTTGTTGATGAAAGGTGACTGGGAATCTGAGGGTAACACAAGTAAGAAGAGCAGTGCTGTCATAAGCTTTAAAATCACAGATGATTGGAATAATTTAGAGGCAAAATATGAAACACACACTTAGCGCTTGATAGGATGATATGATAAATCTAAATATGTATATTTTTGGCACTTCAAGATAGTGGATGGTTTAGATGATTAAATGTACACCATGAGCATTACTATGAATTTTATACATTTATAAAGATTAAAAATCTTTAGATTTAAATGAATCAACCAGGCTGTCCCACCTGTGACAAATATCTTGAAGACTAGCTTGTCCCCTCCAGCTTCACAGGTATACTCTCCAGCATCACTCTTCTCCACCTTTTCAATCACCAGCTGGCGAGTGTTGCCTTTTGCTTCTGAGTATATGGTCCTACTGGATATCAACAGCTTGCCATCTTTGTACCATTTCACCTCTGTCTTGCTATCTGACACATTACAAGTAAGAGTTGCTTTTTGGGAGAGAGTGGCCTTCACTTCCTTTTGGACTGACTCTTTGTTGGAGAAGGCAGCTACAGCTGGAGTTTCTGTGAGGAAAAAAGAAGTTTCTGTGCCATCAAATACTCCCAAATCAACATAAAAAACCCAGCCTTGTGCCATCATGCAGCGTTACCTTTTATCTTAACCTGGAATGTGATTTTGTCAGCTGCTGTCTCACACGAATAATGTCCTTCATCAATCTTCTTGGCACTCTTGATAATGAGTTTCCTTTGAGTCCCTTTGGAGATGATGGTAGTTCTTTGGTCCTCAGTGATTTCCATTTGATCTTTTCTCCACACAACAGCAGCACTGGCAGATGAAACCTCACAGCTCAGCTCAAGATCTCCTTTGAGAGTCGATGACATTCCCATGGTACCTCTGGCTTTGTTTAGAAATTTGGCAGGTTCATCTTAGGGAGGGAAAAGCAATAAAAAGTTACCATGTGACTTATGTGTAATAATAAAATTAAATGTCTTTTTTAAAAGTTTGGTTGGATTGTTAACGCAGGAGCTCATGTTTAGGAAGAGGGTTGGCCACGGCCCAACCACTTCCAACAACAGGGCCAGTCTGAGAAGCAGTTTCTTCTCAGGATTTATTTTCAATTAATTTAAAATAAACATTTAAATAAACAAAAGGACTAAACATGTTTTCCTTTCCTTTCTAATAAAGTAAAAGGAAGCAGTTATTAAATTATCATACATGAATTCCAGCCGATAGCAGCCACTTTACAGTGACCCGTTAAATATAAGAAAGCACATCACAGGTCAGAGGGTTGATCAGCAGAGGATGAAGAAACTTTCTTTAACTTTACTTTGAATTGTATAATGCTGTGGGTCCATATCATGTGACATGTGGATGTTGTTCTTGTGTTTTTATGAGATATTTACATTAGAAAAAACTCATCTAAAACATGTCACCTGTAATTAATGGATGTTTTTTTCTTGCATTTAAATTTTTTAGGCTTTCACATTTTTATGGGTTTTTTTTGTTTTTGTTTTTTTAATGGCAGGAATACTCGGGTAATGGGTTAGAGTGAGGATGAAGTCACTTAATGTGGAAATTCATTTACAGTTAAAAACAGAAAAATAAACAGAGAGCATACTTGAGTTAGAGCGGACCATTTCTGCCTGTTTTATTTTGTCCTTGAAAGCACGGGCAGTTTCTTTTGAGACAAGCTAATGAATCTGTTTGATGCCTCAAAGATAAAACCAATCAGAGCAGCTCACATTCCAGTAAATCATTTGAGGTGTTTTGCACCCTGAACCTAGTTCCTATTACAAAAATCCTCTCTGGAAAATCCTAATTGTGATTTGAAGCAACAAATGATGTAAAGTTAGCTGCAATTTTTACACATACCTTTAAGAGTGAGTTGCATGGACATCTTGTCATCAGGTAACACACAATCATAAATGCCCACATCTTCCTCAGTGACGTTGTGTACCATCAGGATCCTCTTGCGGTCATTAAGCACATATTCATACTTTTTGCCCATTTTTAGCTCCCGTCCGTTCTTCGTCCAAACCACCTGAAGAAAGAAATACAGAAATGCTTTCCAAATTAAACAGGTTAGGATCACACAAACACATACATGTGCTATTAATGTTAACTGGAATTACTCAAACACAAAAGTGTCTCATTTGCAGATTATTCAGAAAAGGGTGCACCAAGGGTGTAGCATTGGAGGACAAAGAACAAGGCGGTCACAGGAAATTTGAGTATTTAATGAAAAGTGAAAAGTTGTGTTACACAAGAGTTAAAACAGAATTTTGTGTTAGATAAAATTTAAAATTATTTATAGATGTAAAAGTTATAATCCTATTAAGTAATCTAATAGTGCACAAGTTGTATAGTCAAAATATAATTTGAGGTACCTAAAGTAAGCACATTAATCATGTCGAATTTGAATCAAAATATTGTAGAGTAGAAGCAGGAAGTAACACTACACAGAAGTGCTTAAATTAAAATACAAGTTCATTAAACCAGTACTTAAGTAAATTACTCAAGTAAAGCTCTTTGTGTTTGTCAGGTCAATTCAATTTTATTTATACAGCGCCATATCACAACAGCAGCCGCCTCAAAGAGCTTTATATTGTAAGGTAGACCCTACAATAATAATATGTAGACGTAGAATTAGGATAATTAAATATCCTATTGACACATCTACAAAGCTCTTTCAAAAAGACGTTAAACGTTATATTAAAACAGCTGTTTTAATAGAGTCTGTAAAGGCAAAAACTAAAACAAATTATTTACATATTTCTATCACTAACCTGTGTGTCGTAATCTGACACCTCAACAGTCAGCTGAGCAGTGGCTTGGGCACTGCAGGTCACCACCTCTAGATGATCGGATTTGTTGGTGAACCTAACAGAAGGGGCTGAAAACAACGTGGTACTGTAAGAGGGTATTACTGATTGGAAGAAAAAAACCACAAAAAAAAAAGACACAAATTAATAGGACTGGGGTCATTTCTCTAGTGTGTACCTTTCACATTGAGGATGCAACTGCTTTGTGAGCCTCCACCCACAAACTTGACTTCAGTTCCATTCATTTCCATGGTCACATCTCGGATGAGCAATGTGTGTATGTTTTTTGACCTGGTGATGAGGTAGTCGGCTCCGCTGCGCAAAAGGCGTCCGTTTAGGGACCAGAAGCCTGAGCAAACAGCAGACAGCTCAACAGAGATGGAGAATTCCTCACCGGAGACTGCAGTGCTGTTAATCAGACCTTTTCTGATTTCTGCAGTGGGTTCTGAAAAGAGGCCCGCAAACAGGATTTTAAGAAGGAAGAACAAAAACCAAACATACACATAAATGACAACAATCACAGAGAATTCAGTCTTACCAAGGTAGAAGGTTCCAGGTACCTCCAGGTAGGCACTCTGCCCAAAGTCATTAATGGCAGAGATACGGAACTGGTAGCTAGCTTCTTCAGTGAAGTTGCAGATTGTAAACTCTGTTGTGACAATGGTTTCTTCAGCATTGCACCTCTGCCACATTTGGGTACCAACCTTCCTTCGCTCTACAACGTAGCCTTTGATGGGGACAGGGCGGTCACTGTCAGGAGGAGACCACTGAATGGTGATGGAGGATTCTGTTTTGTTCTGCACCACAGCGTCAACTGGGGGATCGGGAGGATGCTTCCGGGCAGCTAGAGAAAAATATTGTGATGTTATTTAGTTGGAGTACTAGTTTCAGTTCTTCTTTTGTATTTAATATATGCTGATATTTGACCTAACAACAAGAAATATATCGAGATACACTGTTTTGTATAATTCAATAAATGTTTGGTTCATTATTGTACCAAAGGGTCCTGTCACCCTCCCCTCATCCCCAAAAGATTGCAGCAGATGGCTGGAGTTTTTCCTTCCCACTGTTGCCAAGTGTTTAGTCATAGGGGGTTGTCTGATTGTTGGGTTTTCTCTCTAATATTGTAGGATCTTTACCTTACAATAAAAATCGCCTTGAGGCAACTGTTGAAATGATTTTGCACTATATAAATAAAATAAATTGAATTTAAATCAATCGCCACAAAATATTTTGTATATATTTACTACAGATATCATTAGAATGTATCAAACAACATTTAACCCACCAGTAACTGAGAATCGGGTGGATGTCTTGCAGTCTCCAGCCACAAACGCCACTTCTCCAGAGTCCTCTGCCTGGCAATCTCTAATTGTGAGTGTGTACTGTCTAAGCACGCAGCCGATTGAAATACGTGAATCCTCTTTTAACTTCTCGCCATTGCGAGTCCAGTAGGCGTCTGGATAGGGATGTTCCAGCTCCACGCAGAAGATGACAGTGTCGCTAACAGGAACTACTGTCCTCCGAGGAAGCTTCTTAGTTATGTTACCTGAGATATAAGAAGAAACTGATTTGAGATGAAGAAAACAGAACTGAAAACTGCATTTTTCAAATAGATATAGCAGTAAATAATGGTCCAATGTAGTAAACGTTCACAGACCAGGTCATGTCGCATTAAGTATCCACATGAGATGCATGTAATATTTACATTAAACCCATATAGACAACTGTAATTACACTTGATAAGTGCACAAACACTGAAGAAGAACAGTGGAAAGAAAAAGAGTCTCTACCGTACCCAGGACTGTGAGCTCAGCCACAGTGCGACTGCCCTCTTTCATCTCGCATATATAAACTCCATCGTCGTTGGTGGTAACGTTGTGTATGGTGAGGCGACGGAGGGTGCCGTCCTGCTCCATGCGATATTTAGCATTTTGCTGCAGTCGCGTTTCCTCCATGAACCAGTTGGTATAAGTGGAACTAAGAGGCACCTCACACATGAGTGTGGCTGAGGTTTTTTCCTGCACCTCCACATCCTGCAGCTTTCTCCTGAATGGCACCTTGGGTTCTGGCACAAGGAAATATGACAGAATCTTTAACCAAAGCTGAACTACATCACACTTTCAACTTCTACATGTATTTACCCACATATTCAAATATATGTCAGGCTAATGAAATATCAATAAAGTGAGAGAAACTAGAACATTTAAATTCAGGAATCAAGTGTAGAAAATCTGATTTAAGAAGTGAGATAAGTTCCACCTGAGCACTCAGTATAGCCAAATAAAATATTTAACATTTGCATTCATGTTTTCCAATATGTTTCCTAAACTGTGCTCTCCAAAGACTAAGTGAGTTAATTTCATCTAGCCATGCTGAATATTTTTGCTTCAAGCATGGTTGTAATAACATCCAAACAGGCACTGCAAAGATTCAAATACAGGATGGCTTCCAAAGCAAACATAAGATTACTTTTTATCACCAGAAGTGGCAATAAACTCCAAATCCAAGGGGCAGGTTACACCATGGACAGTCTGTCAGATTTATAGAATAGATAAGGTGCACTGATAGGAATGGGATCCTTTCTGTCAACATCTCTTATTCATCTCATATTCTTGTTCTTGTTCCAATCCACTGCCTTTATGTGTGAATTTTGCATGTTCTCCCCTTGCCTGTGTGGGTTCTCTCTCGGACACTCCGGCTTCCTCTCAAAGTTCAGAGTCATTTATTTTAAATTAACTGGTGATTCTTGGTGTGAATGTAAGTGTGAATAGCTTTCTTTTTCTGTATGTTAGCTCTGTGGTAGACTGGCAACCTGTCTAGGGTGTATCCAGCTTATCCACCCATTGACAGCTGTGGTAGACTCCAGCTTAACTTCAACCCTAAACCCTAAACTGGACAAGTACTAAAGAAAATGGATGATTATTAGCAAACTACTTCTCCAGTGCATATGTAAAGAATGGTATATAAAGACTATCATGCAGTTCATGTGCTGGATACTGTATTTGCCATTACACTACCATTTATTTTCTAGCCACATATAGTAAAACTTCTTTCCATTTCAAAGCTTTCTGCAAAACTCCAGCAAAGTACTAAATTGCCGGGTAAATATCACACAAAGAACCAATTTTCCTGCACTTTGAATTCAGCTGGTACATCGGCAGCTTGGCACTCGACATCGGACTGACTGGAAATTAATATCTGAAATTAAAATCTGCAACTCTACAGCTTCATATCCTGGACCAACATCTTCCCGAGGGAAGTCACATCAGCAGTGTGCCAAAGTGATCTACTGAGTGAGTGACCATCTTAGCAACTGTGAACTACTCATCGCCAGCAGAAAATAGCTGCAACACAACACCTTACTTCAGGACATGAGCCAGAATTCAGTCTTGTTGTTAAAAGGCAAACAACAACACCCAGAAGATTCAGAAGAGTAGTTACAGTTCCCAGTAAGCACTGCTCTCAGTTTGTAACTATTAAAATATACAAATGAGTCACACTGGAGCATGGGGGACACGATATTTAAGTACAACGGATGCTGCAGATTATAGATACACCATGACAGTGTTATAAACAGTGTAATAAATTAATATGCAGCTCAAAATATCCTCATCATATAAACCATTTACTTCTCCTAGAAAAGGATTCATGACTTCTAAACTATTAAATATGTACATAAGTATGAGCTTTTTATAAACATTTGTATCTTCAGAGGGTTAGGGTCTTTGACCTGAGTACTACAGACAGAAAGTGAGTTGAGATTTGTTAGCATTATCAAAAATAAGGTAAAGCCAGCCTTAATATTAACCCTGCATACTTATTAGAAGTATGCAAACATATCTTTACTAAAAACTTATTTCAGGAGGATTTTCTTAACTGCGATTGCTCAAAAATGGTAATAGCTTACCTTTGACTGTTACTAACACAGCGCTGTAGGTCTGCCCGGCCATATTGGTTGCATTGCAGGTGTAGAGGCCATTATCAGTCTGCTTGCAGTACAGGATTTTCAGGATGAAGTTCTCAGCTTGGTCCTCATAAATGACATGTCTGCGGCCCTCGCTGATGTTCGTTCCATCCTTCCTCCAGATAGTGTGGGGTTTGGGGTGACCGGTCACAAAGCAGCTGAGTTTGGCATGTTTCCCCTCAGTCACGGTGCAGGTACGAGTGAATACACCTTTGGGAAGCTTCGCCAGGGCAGATGCTCGCAGATCGTGTTCCAGGCCCAGAGAACTGAAAGCATCCGTGATTTTGGCCGTGGAGGAGGAAGAAATGGAGGCGCTGCTTTCTTCATTGCGGTAGATGGAGATCTCCTCTTTGCGCTTCTGTAGGTGAGAGAGAAGGGAGCTGCTCTTATCTACAGCTTGGCGGTGGGAATCCTGAGCATCTACAACGAGGGCAGCCGCAGCTTGTGCGCGGCCGACAGTGTTCTGGGCCCTGCAGGTGTAAGTGCCGCTGTCCAGGTTTCGTACGCACTGGATCTTTAAAGTGCTGCCATCGCTCTCAGAAATGATCTTGATGCGGTTGGTCTCCCCCAGGTAGCGCCCATCCTTTTCCCATTCAAAGTTGGCCTCAGGGTAAGCTGCAACTCGGCAGTGGAAAACAACATCACCGCCCAAAACAACACGTGCAGAGGCAGGCTTCACCATGAAAACAGGGGCCTTCTGAGACATCTCTGTCGGCAGCGCCACTTTGAGGGTTACAGCGGCGTAAGCTTCACCGACGCTGTTCTTAGCTCTGCACATGTACTGTCCACTGTCCTCCAGAGTTAAGTCATAGATGGTCAGGCGATAAGCGTCTCCATCTTCCACAGTCTTGAAGCGGCCTCCGGACGTCAGCTTCAGCTTGTCTTTTTCCCAGGTTATCAGTGGAGTTGGGCTGCCCACAATTGTGCAGCTGAGTGTGGCATCCTTGCCCACACACACTGAAAATGCCTTTGGGCGAGTGAGAAACCTGGGGGCCCCTCCAAACAAGTTTTGTTCCATCGTTTGTTCCTGTGATCAAACAAAGGGCAAATATTACACATCTTATAAGTCTTATAAATATCTTGGAACAGTTATTGAGTCCAAACTCAACTTTGAAGCAACATGTGTGCAAAAAATCTCCACACTGATAAAACCATTTGTTTCATCCTGCTTTTTTTGTCTGTTTTATCCTTTTTATTTGGTGTCATGGTGTTGATTTCTGCCTCTCTCTCTTTTGTCCTTTCGCCCTACCCTCAACCTCATCTGCCATGACCCCAATCAGTCATGGCAGATGGCTGCCCCTCCCTGATTCTGCCAGAGGCTTCTTCCTGTTAAGAGGGAGTTTTTCCTTCCCACTGTCACCACATGCTTGCTCATAGGGAGGCATCTGATTGTTGGGGTTTTCTCTCTATTACTGTAGAGTCTTTACAGTATAAAGCACTTTGAGATGACTGTTGCTGTGATTTGGTGCTATGTATATAAAATTGAATTGAACTGATATTTATCTGTGAAGGACAGAAAGGGCAGATTGGTGAGCCGCGGCTGAGCTCAGCATCACTGTACACCACAATTATAGTGTCTGCTGGGCATGATTTTACTGGACAATTTGCTCCCTTTGCATAGTGACTTTCAGCTTCTCGTCCCAAAGTGCAAAACAATACGGTTTACAAAACAACTTTGTTCCAGCAGCCATTACTCAGATTAACCAAGCATAGCGTTGCTATCCTACATGATGCCAAGTGAATTCTCTGTAATTATAGTATAATTATTTCTTCAGTATTTTTTATTAAGCTTATATATTTTCTGTGTTTGCACTGACAAACATGGATGGAAGATGGATGACTCTCTACTCCAGACCAAATCTACCCATGGGTACAAATAAAGTAATTGAAACAATAAAAATATTAAATAAATAAATACAAAACTGATTTTATATATGTACAAGTTTAATAACCTTTATTAAAAACACCAATCTTCAACTGCAAGTATAAATAAACCAGGAAGTACAAATGTAAAAATTACAAAACTATATCAAGAAAAAATAAATACATTTACTATTATTTCCTGTACATCATATTCCTCCACAAACACCTGTCAACTTTACACAAACCCATTGTAAAATCTGGCCTTCTGCTATGTGTTCTCTAAAATATGTTATGCTATGAAAATAGACATAAATCCAGAGTTAGGGTGGCATATTTATAGCTGACAGTTACAGTAGCTATATATCAGTCAACATATCCTTGAGCTGCCGCAGCGGACATTCATCAATACAAAGACCTATTCAAAGGGAAAGAAGCTAAATAGCAAACAAATTCCCTCACAACAAGGTCAGAAAGAGCGCTTATGTGTCTTTCAAACAGTGACATTTACCAGCTTTGTCACCTCCGCCGCTTTAACTGCCTGTCCCAAAAATAACCTCAGCTGTCAGACTCCGTCTCTGTCCATTGCCATTTGTAGAAGCGAAAGGGACATCAGCTGTTTGATAAAGCTCCCACTTCACAAACATACTTCATTTCTAGCACTGTCCGTTTTCTACCAGCTGAGGAAAACTCGTAAAAAAAGACACTGGAATTTAATGAACGACTAAAAAAAATCACGGAAAAAATTCGACAAAGGAGCTTGTGTTTACTTAAATATAACAGAAACTTCAGCTGGATGATGCGGTTAGCTAATGAACTCAAATCCGCCCCTGTAATAGTCACAGGTGAAAAACGACAGCTATCTACCTCTTTGAGCTGCACCTAAGCTCAAATTAACCAACAAAAAAAGGAAAAGAAATTCTAACTTCGACCAAGTTCCTATGTAAACTTTACTGTAAGAAAATGAGTTAACTGTTGTGTTACTGCTTCTTCACCTTGAGTCCTTAACCGCTCAGGAAATTCAGGCGCTGAATCATGTGGGCCAAACAATCAATAGCCCGTCAGGATTTCCGGATGATGGCCCTCTCCAACAGCGTTCAGGGGCTCTACATGGGGGGCAAGAAAAAGTCTTCTTTGACCTCAAATATATTTCAAAATGGTTGTAAATCCAAGATAGTGAAACATCCCCCCGTCTCCTGCAGTGGGCGGTTGAGCAGACTTACTTTTTCTTTCTTCTCTGGTGCCTCATGATGCCACATAGCTGACGTGCCTATTTTGGCGCAGCCTCCTTTCCAAAATAGACCTGTCATTTGGAGATAGGAGATAGCCTGATGGTGGCTTCGGGAAGGAGAGCAGGCTGGCCTGGCCTCTGCTGGGTTGCTGCTGCTGCAGGCTGGAGACGGCAATACGGACACAAGTCATAAACAACTCATACTAGGTGTAAATGTGCCGCGTGTGGACGCGTCAAGCAGGAGCAGTTTATTGAGTTTCAGTTCAGTTCAGGTTTAGTTATATATCAGTCGCCTCAAGGCGCTTAATATTATAAGTTAAAGACCCAACAATAATACAGAGAAACACCAACAATCAGACGACCCACCCAATGAGCAAGCACCTTGGCGACAGCGGGAAGGAAAAACTCCCTTTCAACAGTTAGAAACCTCTGGCAGACAGGGGCGCTACCAAGGGAGAGCCGTGCCCCCCCCCCCTGCCCTCACCCAGATGTCACTTTATATATCCCTCACATTTCCCATCATCACATGCTGCACTGTTCATGTTTTTTTTTTGGGTTTGCCACCCCAAGATTTTAGTGCCCCCCCCTATAGTCAAGCCTATAAACAAATTCTGGTTCTGCCCCTGCCAGCAGAATCAGGCTCATGTAAATCGGCCCACAAAAAAGTTTTTTTTTACCACACAAGTTTAAACACCTATTAACTACTTCTGTTTTAATATCATTTTAACTGTATTCAAAACCTGTCGATTATCCCCTCCAATGTAAAGGAGGGCATATATTTTGGACTTACTGTATTTTCGTGGTTTTAGAGATTTTACTACTCCGAAACAAAAAATTCCCCCATGTCTATTCATGTAATGAAGTAACAGATAGAGTTTTATTCTTTTAAGTAATTAAATAACTTTACACATTTTTGTACTTTTAAATCCAAATTCTGCTTCTTTTTTCTCCTATTAAGATATCTCAAGGATTGAATGTTCAGTTAAACTTCTTTATCCTGACAGAAAGATGAGTTTCCTTTAAGATTTTTCACTTAAAAGTACATGTAAAATGAGTTTGATTTAAGTTCTGTACTTGGATAGTCAAGGTAATTGACACAAATTCACAGGCAGGGTATAATTCTGAAAACTATGTCCCGTAGGGGATTATTCATGATTTGAAGACTTAACAGCGCTGCAAACAAAACTGAACCTCCACTTCTTGGCTTGTTGTTGTTCACTTGTTTCAGACTTTCTTAGATGTGCAAATCTGAGATGCTCAAATCAATCTCTTGCCACCTCTGTCTCTACTTAATGAAAGTTTACCTCAGCTTACAACAGCTCAAGATGTGCCAGGTTAAATGTGAAGGTAATTAACACCAAGACATCATTAGATACTGCATCACAAATCCAGTCCCTGTCATCATATTACCAGTAACAGAATCCAGCCTGCACTCTGATATCATTGAACATTTGCAGTGGTGACAAAGGCACAAACAGCTTCCTCATTCTTCTGCTTATTTATAGAATTAAACCCCGCTCTGATCTCTGAACAAAAACATAAATCTATCAGTCTGCCTCTCTTGATAGTTCATTCATTTGCAGTAGTTGTAGTGAATAATAAATCCACTTAATCTGCTTATGATTAGGCTGAGAGGTTGACTGAGCTTGCAGCAGACTGTTTTCCACAACATCCACTGTGACAGCTGCTGTCCCCAGCTCATCAGAGCCAGAATGAAGTTATGACTTCATATTGTGGAAAGGACTAGAATGCAGTAATACTTTAAATGTATCCTTAGTGAAGTATTCACTTTGATTAAATCACTTGATAAAGCATGGCAACAAACCTCAGGTTGCAGTGCACGTTTTTAATATAGACTCTCAATTTCCTTTTAGGAAAAAATCATTCTACTTGAAGTGACTAAAGCTAGTGTTAACCCTTTTGTCCCCAAACTTTGGCTTCCATGTTATTTTCTTACTCTTCCAGTGCGGGCTTTCCCCCCAGTGCCAGTGACTGACAGCAGCAGGTAGCCTGGACCCTGATTTAAACTCCCAGAAACTCTAGCAGACGGTAATCCACTGTTGCTGCTTTCCTCTGCTTCATCCTCTCCTGGCCACTGTGTTTAGTTTCCATACTCTAACTAGAGTATGTGTACTGAGGAAGAAAATAGTTTAGATAATGCTATCCTCTGTGTTGGCATGAAATACGTCCAAACCTTCTACTGCGGTACTGTGTCACAAATTAGCACAGGCTAGGTTCCTTGATTCCAAATCACTTAATATACCAAAACAACACCACGACATATTTCTGCAACTTTTTGGTAAATGTTTAAAACTCACTTGCAGACAGTAACCACCCTCTCATGGCACCTGCCAACAGCCTGGCTATAATTTAGCAACCTAAATATTAAACACTAAGTAAAACATGTCTTTGTAATGAGACTTTTCTTCTTTTTTTTTGCTAAATGGAAGCAATGCATACTCTCCAGTCCGGTCTCCGTGGCCTTCCACTTGACCTCACAGCCATTTCGAGAATAAGGTCATAGCTGTATCATGTTCACAGCTTGAAACACATGGGTGTTACCTTAAGAACAGTTACATGGCAGATGACAATCAAAGGAGCTTGCAAATAAAAGACTTCTTTAGGTTGCTTGAAGACGTTTCACCTCTCATCCGAGAAGCTTCTTCAGAACTGAAGAAGCTTCTCGGATGAGAGGTGAAACGATGGCAGATGACAAGTGAGACAAATTTTAGTTCTACCAAAGATTAAGATTACTAAGACTGAACAGCAGATGGCAGGCATGTCCTCCCCAAAACACTCAAGGGGCTTGGACAACATTAAAAACAAGCAATAAGGCGGGCAGGATCAAGTAGGCGTAAGCTTCATCCTACCCCTTTTGAAGCATGTAAATTGTATGGTAGAGCGATTCCTTTTTTTTGTATCCAATATTTTTTTTTTATATTACTTATATGTTTGAAATAAAACAATTAAATAAAAAATGAGACAAACTAGCAAAAAAGAAGCACATCTTTATTTACAGTCTTGATAGTATTTACAGTATTATAGCAAGCACAGGACAATAGTGGGAACACGTGGCAGTGAGGTGCTGTTAAAGAAAACAACTCACCTTAATTATTCCATACGAAAAGTCCTGATTTACAAAAAAAAAAAGACTTGATCAACAGGTTACCCTAACACTGCCACTGAGCTCTTCTAGAAATGAGGGTCACTGAATGCGATTTATGCAGCTGTTGATGCTGTATGATGTAAAATGACGTTTAATCAATGGACCATGTATATGTGCTATTCCTTCATAAGTTCCAACAAGACTGTGAGCAGAATCAACTGGTTAGAAAGAGTCATAGAGCAAGTCAAAGGGGAGAAAGAGACAAAGGACAAAAGTACGGAAAACATATATATGACAGTAGTAACAAAATGTGAATAAGTCTGTATAAAACCTTTATATTCATTCAGAAGCAGTTCACTAAATACTTTCTTTTTTATTGTTATATAGATTTAGGTGTTATAGTTCAAACTTCTGGGCATCTATCTATCCATCTATAATGTCTCTTGTCTACAGTTATTATTTAACCAAACAAATGGAAAACACAGTAGACTCCTTTGGTTGGAAAATGTGAGGGTAAAGAATCGAGTTGTTTAAGTATTTAAGTTTTTACAAGTTAAGTTACATGAAAAACTACTTCCAAGCAACAGCAAAAACAAAAACAAAGAAAATTAAACTTTATTCTTTTTTATTTTAAATAAACATTACATAATCAACCACACACAGAACGATTAAATACACTCAAAATTAGATGTATTTGCCTCTCTACTCAGTCTCTGAAAACAACACGTACTGTAAAGCTGTGCTGAAAACAAGTTCTTTTGGCATGTTTCATATTTCAGCTAATGCTGCTCAATTTACAGAACAAAAACATACAGACAAACTTTTGTAACCACAAAAAAAAGAAGAAGAAGAAGAAGAAGAAAACAAATTCACCATTTCAGGATGAAAACATAGCACCTTGTTCCAGTCACTGTGATCCTTCGACTGGTCTATATAGTGGATAAGAAACCATAGTATGATCAGAAGGTTTGCCATAATGGCATGCTCCCGTTTCTTCAGGATGTTAAACACAGCGCAGTCCCATGACAAAAGAAGTGCACTGTCAGATACAACAGACTGACCTGTCAGCTAACAAGACACATCCACAGTTTCACTATATGCACTCGATGCTATACACAATGGCATGGAAATCAAAAATACTGTACATCCTATGTGCTGGTAAATATGTGAAAGCAAATCTGTTGGTTAACACGAGACGGCTTCTAAAAAGAGCAAATGCTAATCCTTATTACCAAGGCACTGCTTATAATAAAACGACTAACATTAGACACTACCATGGCGTGTAAATGTGGAGACTATCAAAACTCTGTGTTCAAAGCTGAGCTCCAGTGTCTCTACAACAAACTCATCTCATATGGAAAAAAACACCACAAATGAACTGCGACCACAAGAAATGCGTGTAAGCACATTTAAGGCCGTGTGAGGGAAACAGACATTTACTGACCAGCGGCAGAAGAAAAAACAAAAAACAAAAACAAAACAAAAAACCCAGCAAAAAAACATTATGTGCTTGGCCACAGTGTTTCCTTATAGTCTGCTGAGGACAAATGACAACACAAGACAGGCTGATGCAATGCTTATCTATAAAGTTAAATCAGGATGCAAGTACATACACACACACACACACACACACACACACACATTAAAAATGCTTTTCAATCAGTGCAAAAGTGTTAGCATAATTACGCAGATGTTAAAATGCATTCCCTCCACAGACGCATGCACGCTCAACGTGAGAGTGAAACAACTTCTAAACACACGAGAGGGTTAGGACACACTCTGAAGTCTTATAGAGGTGGAGGGCTCAATTTATATTCCTTTGCAGAATGCAATAAAACTGGGTTGATATTGTCATCATGAGATCAACTATGAGATTTTGTCCCAGTTTATTTCAGGGTTTACCGGCAATTGCATTCACCATCTTGCCGCTGGGCATGGCATCTTTGCAATAACACCAAAATTAAAGACAAAAACCACATTGTAAGAGGGGCCACACACCACCTCCATTCGTAAAAGTTTATGATTGTTTAATTTTTTTTTCCTAAATAAATTATATCTCTCTATATACCTGTATCAATTACATATGTGGGGAAATAAATATATATAATGATCTTACTTTGGAAAAATAAAGTCTTAGCAGAATTGCCGTCATGCAGCACGCACTCTGAAATCAGCCCTTATGATGAAGTTCCATTTTTATATGATCAGTTTGAGGGAAAGCACAAAAAATGGTAACAAGCACACAAAGTATTTGAAAAAAGCAACACCTTTCTGTTTTGTTCTTTTAAAAATGGTTTCCACCTACACCTGCCATTAAAATCAAAATGCAGTCGAAAGATGCACCTCTAGAATGAAAAAAACGTTTATGTATAATAAATATTTACACAAGAGTAAATACACTACAGAGGTATCGATTTGTGTATTCGTTTTTTCTCCTCCACAACTGAGGTAATGCGGAAAACTAGGATTTAAATACATGTTTTTACATCGGTGTTAAGGCATAACGCTGGCTCTGTCCAGCTTAAACAGATTTCAATTACATCTTCTATCTGCATTGGGATTTCTAAGACAAGTGTACTTGGTGCCCATTACTACGGCTCTGCTTTTGAGGAAAAGCAACTGTCTTGACAGATGAGCCGCAGAAACAACAACACTGAACAAAAATCTGCATTTAGGACCACTAAACACAGACAGCAGCATCAAACCATGTGCATGCTTAGGCTCAAGGAACTCCCAGATACACATAGTGTTTTAGCAGTGCGGCTACTGTATAGTGAACTTTTGAATCATTTCAATACTTGGTATATTTTGCAGGAATTGGATCTAGTAGTAAAAATGTGACCTTTGAAGGAACAAGCAAGATGCAAAAGTGTATTTACATTTTACAAGAGTCAAATAGCACAACTCTGAAATGCTTTTTTCCCCCCAGATGACTAAAATTGTTCAGGCAGACAAGATACAATTTGAAGACTTCATGCTGTGGCACAGATTGAGACACTATTCTGTGGAAAACTTCAATTATACTTGCACCGTAATACCCTGTGATGCTCAAATACTCGATTTGTGCGCAGCAGAAGTTGTGATGAACCTTTCGCGTTTCGCGCCCATCGTCGCACGGTGGATCTATGATTACTCTACACCTCATCGATCTTTCTGTCATACGAGCTTCGGGAAAAGTTCCTACAAGTTGATAAGAAAATTTTGACAATGTGGACGGAAGACATATGGTTTCCCTGATGCCATAGTCTGCCTGATATGACAGGATGAGGCGTAGAGGTGCAGAGACTGTGGTTATTCAATGAGTCCCTCCTAAAAACGCTGAATGGTGTATTAAAGGTCCATGCTAAATTCTCCATGAAGATCATCTAAGGCCACAACTTTCGTTGAAGAAAGTAAAATGTAAACACTAAAAAACAAAACAAAAGAAAACAAAAACACAAAAAAAGAAGAAGAGAAATGATCACGGCTTTGTAGCTTCAGGACAAACAATGTCCAAAAATACAGAACCACAGAGCATTGAAATGAGAGCGTATACCTTATGACAAAAGGCACTTCAACAACTACCCCCAGTGTCCTGTTTTGGAGTAGATCCACTATTAATCTCCTGATCGTCTTCTTCATCTTCTTCTACCTCTTGCCAGCCACCAAGATGGACAGTGGTGGGCACAGAAATGCTGGAACTGAGGCCGCTGTGTGCCTGGTAACCTGAGAATAAGGGTATAATATATATTTGTTTGCTGTCTAATGATTTGTAATATCAGGGTATCCACATCAGAACCAGGATTTCAGCACAACAAGAATTTTTGTCACATTCATTTGATTCTGAACTGACACCAACAATATTTATAAAAGTCCTCTGCAAACTAATATTCATAATCTTTGGCTCAATTAAAAATAACAGGTTCTTAAAAATCAACACTTTCATTTACCAGTATGTGTGTGCAGATCTCTCATTGGCACTGGATTATGCCACTGGCCTGAAGTTCTTGGTGGGTGGGAGCTCTGCTGGTGGAGCTGAAGAGACAAACAGTTTTCAGTGTGCAGCAGAAACGGGTGCTAAACTTATGGTACTACAAAAGATACTAAAAGCATTACTCTGGCTCAAAATGTGCCTTTCGAGCATTAAATCTTTTAAGCAATACTAAAAATGAAAC